TACATATCGCCGCGAACGTCGGAGTGTGAACAATAATTCTCGGGGCATCAATCACTGAGAACACTACACTGATGAGCGGCGATGGCGTTTACGGCCAATTTTCGGTGTGGTCGTTTTTGGTTCTTTTCCGCGGGCGCGCCCAATTTTAAAGCTTGACATGTTTAGTTTTGCGCGGCGCTGTACAAATATAAGGAAGACATTACAATCGCAATATAATTCAAGACAAGATGGTACGGAGGGCCCCGCCCCTGAGGGCTTACGATCTAAAAGGGGAGGGGCCAGTGATACATGAGGAGGGAGCTGTGTGGGGATGAATTGTTTGAGAACGTGATACAAATAATATATATAGGTACAAATTGGTAAAGAGGGCCCTGCCCCTGAGGGCTTACGATCTAAAAGGGGAGGGGCCAGTGATGCATGGAGTTACTGTAGCTCTGTGTGGGGGATGAATTGTTTGAGAACGTGATACAAATAATATTTATAGCTACAAAGAATTCACAAACCCATCAAATGTTTTGATATTTTGTGTCTGTTCCAGTTGGTCACAAAGATTTCCTCTCCTCCCATTGGCAGGAAAACAACCGGCCAGTCATCAGGCGATGAAGGTGACAACGTCGTTCGGGAATTGAAGACTTATGTTCGGAAGGTAGGGAAGGAGATTCCTTCTTCTTTTATCAGATGTTATCGGTGTCTCTGGTTTGCTGGTCTGCCATTGATAATCCTGTCTAGGTTTACCCGGTGATGCAAAGTAGGGACGCACCGATACGTGAACGCCACCACTCGATTTGATACAAGTGATCTGATCAGGTCACTCATGTTAAAGCAGAACTATGAGGGGGGGAGGGGCTTTTCACTCCTCCTCATAGTTCTAGCCGACCTGTGACAATGAGACTGTCACAGGTCGGCTCAGTAGATCGGGAGGTGAGAGAACACATACCGGCGTTCGCTCACTTCTCGATCCTGTCACGGCTCTCTGCCCTGACAGAGGGAGGGGCTGGATTCCCCGCTACGATCTGCCTGGCGGAACGGACGGGGGAGGGGGCGGGTACAGCTGGCTCTACCTCTAGATAGCTGTCACTCACGCCGCTGGGCGGATCTTGACATCGATGTCGGGATCCATCCCGGCTGCGGGGTCTCAGTATACCGCGAGCTGTAGCTCCCTATACACTGAGCTTAGGGTGACGGGAGGACGCTAGTTTGTGTCCTCCCGTCACCATGAGGAGAACTATGGGGAAAAACACTGACCCCATAGTTCTCCTTTAAACGCACATTGTCTCCCACTGCACATTCAGCTCTGCTTGTCCGGAGGCGGGCTGAATGTACAAAAAAAAAACTACTCGCCCGGCGGCCGAAACTGCATGTCCCGGGCCCCCCGGGCGATAGGGATTGGCTCTATAAGACGCACAGACATTCTTGCCCGCCTTTTGGGGGGGCGGGGGGAAGTGCGTCTTGTGGAGCGAAAAATACGGTATGTAAGGGATGAAGGGATGCACCGATTTCCATTTTTGCAAGTACAAGTTCCGATACTTGTCCGAGTACCCGCAGATACATTTTTGTTTAGTGTCATGTGACCGATTTTCTAAAACAATACAGACATATGATTTCAGATACAGTGGTGAAGCGCCGGAGCCCGGTCCCAGCTGCCACCCTGGTAGTGCTCATGAAAATGGCAAGTATCGGCGCTGGTATCTGAACTGGTATCAGTGCATCCCTAATACAAAGGTACGGGCAGTAGGGTTGTCACCTGTCCAGGATTCACCCGGACAGTCCGGGTTTTGAACGCCGTGTCCGGGTTTCGTGGCAGCAGAAACCCGGACACATGATGTCAGGCAGACAGGGGCATCCAAAATGAAGATAGGGGCTGCTGCCCCCCCCACTGAAAATAGTCTCACCTGTGATATTTACATATTTATGGGCCGCACTATTTACATATGAATAAGCCGCGACTCATTCTGCCCCCAAAAAATGTTGGCACGTTGCTAGAGCGTTCGGGTTTCGCTTGAAGAAAAGGTGGCAACCCTAACGGGCAGTCCTCGTGTACTGGGCCCGGGCCCTGTTGGGGTTTTGCAGGTGCTGTCTGTGGTTCTCTGCTCTGCACGGGGTGCAGTGTGTCCTCTGTCTTGGATGCATTCTGTCATGGCCCCCGGGGGCCACCACCCGGCAGGCGCTCTCTCAGGGCTTATACAAAGTGGTAAGACTTTATTATTATGATACGGGATTTATAGAGCGCCAACTGTCTGCGCAGCGCTGTACAATATAAGGAAGACATTACAATACAAGATGGTGAGGAGGGCCCTGCCCCTGAGGGCTTACGATCTAAAAGGGGAGGGGCCAGTGAAACATGAGGAGGGAGCTGTGTGGGGGATGAATTGTTTGAGAACAATACAGACTAATGATTTCAGGACAGTGGTGGAGCGCCGGAGCTGGTATCGGTGCATCCCTAATGCAAAGGTACAGGCAGTAGGGTTGTCACCTGTCTGGGGTTGACCCGGACAGTCCGGGTTTTGACTTTATTATTATAATACAGGATTTAATACAGGAGTAACCCCCGAGGAGCTTACAATCTAAAAGGGGAGGGGCCAGTGATACATGAGGAGGGAGCTGCGTGGGGATGGATTGTTTGAGAACGTGATGGTTGAGCGGTTAGGGGGCCAGTGATATAGACTTTAGCTATAGTCTGAACCTGCTTTGCACTGCCCCGTGTCACAGCTGGCGGAGTTGCGCACCTCTGCTGTACCGCACACAGAAAAGAGTGAAAGACCCGTCCGGTGGAGCCTCCGTTCACAACCACGGCAGGTGCGGTAGGCTGTACAGGACCCCCGTGATTTCTAATAGCAGCCCTGCCTATAGGTAGTCGTGCTCATAAGTGGCAGAATTTGTAAAATATTGGCCGATTTTACTTAAAGGAGAACTATGGGGTCAGTGTTTTCCCCCAAAGTTCTCCTTAGGGTAACGGGAGGACACAAACTAGCGTCCTCCCGTTACCCTAAGCTCAGTATATCGGGAGCCAAAACTCGCTGTATACTGAGACGCCGCAGCCGGAGCGGATCCCGGCATTGCTGTCTGGATCCCCCCACCTGCGTGATTGACAGCTATCTAGAGGCGGAGCCAGCTGCACCCGCCCCCTCACCCGTCCGTTCCACCAGTCAGCGCTGGAGGACCGGGGAGGGGGGAATCCCTGCAGAGAGCCGTGAGTGACAGTCACCACTCTCTGCAGGGAGATCGAGAAGTGAGCAAGTGACGGTATGTGTTCGCTCACTTCCCGATCTACTGAGCCGACCTGTGACAGTCTCATTGTCACAGGTCGGCTAGAACTATGAGGATGAGAGAAAAGCCCCTCCCCCCCTCATGGTTCTCCTTTTAAGCAACGAAACAAAACAGCCGAATGACAACGCAGAGAACATCCTCCGAGCTTCTAGAACAAAAATTGTGAGGCGATGAGGCTGACTTTATAGGGTCACAATCGTCAAAGCTTTGCGGAGGAGGAGTCTGCAAGGCCTATTGTCATCATGTTTCAGAACAGCTCTAACTCTCTTAGCTCAGCTTCCCCCGAACTTCCTGTCCAGTGCAAGATCACAAGGGACAGCATATTCTCCTCCGGCAGCTGT